TGAGAGTGTGACATCATCGTCCATCAGTTGTAACGACACCTCTGACGTTTAGAACAAACCAACCGGTAGAAAACTGAGCAAGTTCTGGTTATTTAAAAAGTACCTGCACCACTACAACACGATGGTATGGGTCAGCGAGCGGACCGTACCAAGATGGCCGCCAGTGTGGCCGTGCGATTCCATTGGCCGACAGCGCGGACCAGACGTCCGGCCTTTATGATCCAGATCTACGGCTCTGACTGAGTCCTGCTGACAGAAGACGTCTCTCTGGTTCCACAGAGCTGCAGGACTTTATGTTGCACAGAAACATGAGTCAGAACCTGCTCCAGGTCCAGAGGAAGGACAGGACTCCAGAACACGGGCTTAACGTTGTGTTTGAGATGGTTCCATGTTCTTCAGATCCACAGTTCAGTGGTTGTGTCTGATGTGTATTAATGTGTTTAACTCTGTGTGCAGGTGATGAGCAGCCGCTTCCTGCCCTACGACACCATCGTGACGGACGCCGTCCTCAGCCTGGACGAAGACACGGTTCTGTCCACCACAGAGGTCCGTTTCATGAAGCTAAACTAAACCCTGTTTCCTCTCATCTCTGCTGCTTCCTTCTGTCTCCCTCCATCATCTCCTCCACCCTGGTTCTGCTCCACATGCTGCCCGGCTGGCCTTGTCTTTCCTGGGGACACGTTTTAGCGTAGCACCACAGGAAGCCACATGCTGCTTCCAACAGATCCCATAAAGCTCAGTGTGCAGCTTTCTGATCAGCTGAGACCAGAAACTGTGATAAAATACATGAAGCTCATCAGCTTCCATTTGCAGGGAAGTTATGCAACACAAGGCAGAACAATCCGGCTCCTTCAAGTCATCTAAACTCATCCACTTTTTACCTTCTCCAGGAGTTTTGAGCCCTCAGATGAGGCGACATGCTCGCTGCACACTGAGGATTACAGTCATTTAACAGTTTAACACGGAGCACTACGATAGTCCCTCATGTGACCACCGTCATCAGCAGCACGGTTCTGGTTCTGTTGGACAGACTTTAATTTCACTCAGCGTTATTTCTTCACTTCAGATTGACAGAGTCAGAGAGCTGAGAGCAGCAGAGCTGCTGTGGAGCTTCTGAGCTTCTTCATGTGGCTGCAGAGGAAACCAGCAGCTTTAAGTTTGTTCTTCTGCGTCTCATCTCTGGATTCTCTCTCTGTTACCAGATACAGCAAAAAACAACTGCTTTAGTTCCTCTACAAACACTGTCACGGTTCCACTTCCCGTCCTTGTGCTTCCTAAATAATGACTTTAATAATCAGGCCTTCATGGTCGTAACAAACTAAATCCTGGTTGGTTGATGAGCTCTCTGGCTTTTATCTGTTCTGTCTGTTTGGTCTGTAAAACCCTGAAGAACCAATGAGACGTCGACTCCCAGTCATATCTGTTAGAAGGTTGTTCACATGTTGATTCTTGGTTCAGAAGCTGCAGGTTTGTCGTCTGCTGGACCAGAGACTCTTAATCAAACAGGCACCATTTGAATCACGATACATCCACATCATCAACCATCTGATCCTCAAACACACCAGCAGGTTGGAAAGATGTTGTTTCTTCACAGAGTCACCAGAATGACACCATTTATCAGCCAGAAACTGTTTTTGTGTTTCAGCTCGAACGCCTGAACCGAAGACGTTCAGGCCGAGACAAGGTGCTGAATCAGGGAGTCCCACCGATCTGAGCGGTACCAGTGGAGGGCTGATGAAGGGACACCAAGTTCTAACTGGTTCTTCTGTCTGTCTGCAGGTGGACTTTGCGTTCACCGTGTGGCAGAGCTTTCCTGAGAGGATCGTAGGCTATCCGGCTCGCAGCCACTTCTGGGACAGCAACAAGGAGCGCTGGGGCTACACGTCCAAATGGACCAACGACTACTCCATGGTTCTGACCGGAGCTGCCATCTACCACAGGTACCGGACACGTGCTGGGTTCTGATCTGAGCTCAGAGACTGGTGTCAGGGCCGAACAGAGCATCTCTACCTGATCGTAGCAGCTCTCGACCCAAAGCTGAGCCTGAGGCTGGAGATGCTCAAGTAGAAAGACTCTCTTCACCCTCCTGCTGTCTTTCACTGTTCAACACCTCTAAATACATGACGGACACCTTTTTCTGTTGTATTTAAAGGGCTGTTTACACATAAACTAATTATTTTCTGGAGGCTTAAATTGCTGGAGCCAAACTGATCCCAAAGATAGACGATGTCAGTAAAGTGGTTCATCCATAGTTATTGGTAGTAATCGAGACATACATGACTTTGGCTGCATGTGCCTCTGAGCTGCTTGGTCCTAACCTGCCTGTAACACCTGAGCGCTGGTTGGACGTCATTAACCTCCACAGAAGTCTGTCATGGTTGCTCCTCCTGCTGGTTGGATAAGCTGGTGTATGGACCACAGACATCTCAGCCTGCTGACGCTCAGCGAGACTTCATGAGTGCTGATCAGAGCTCGGGCTGCACGGTGGGTGTCTCGGTGGTTAGCACCGTTAGCACTGTTAGCGCCTCACAGCTAGAAGGTCTCTGGTTGGCGTCCCGGTGAGGACACCCGGGATCTTCCTGCGTGGAGTCTCCATGTTCTCCCCGTGCAGCGTGGGTTCTCTCCGGGTTCTCCGGCTTCCTCCCACAGTCCAGAAACATGCTGAGGTTAATTGGTGATTGTAAATTGTCCGTAGGTGTGAATGTGAGTGTGCTTGGTTGTCTGTCTCTAAGTGTAGCCCTGTGATAGACTGGTTACCTGTCCAGGTGAACCTGCCTTCACCCTGAGTCAGCTGGGATAGGCTCCGCCCCCCACCAGCCTAGTGGGGATGAAGGTGTAGAGATGATGGATGGATGAAGATCCTCCACAGAAGTCCGTCATGGTGCCCGGTGCTGCTGCTGATGTCTCCTCTGGTCTCGATTATAAATACAATGATTGTTTTTTTGTGATAAATGTTTGTGTGTTTTAATGAATCCATCATTAAATTTAAAGTAGTCACAGGAACCTCAGACTGACGTGATGAAGGACTTTATGAGTGGACTGGACTGATGAGAACAACTTTAATGTACTTGAAGTTTATTTATTATCAGACTGGAACTCTGTATGTGCAGACAGTAAATATTAAATGAGTCCGATCCGATCAGAACCTTCCTAGAACTGGATTTTCAGCTGTTTACCTCCATGTGTTCTCTGTGCTCTCTGCTGTTTTCTTTCATGCACTGTTCTCCTTGTGTTGTGCAGGATCACAGCTTTGCTCTGCTCTCCAGTGTTCAGTTGTCTTTCTTTTGAAGCAGCACTTTGATGCTGTGATCTGTAGATTATGAAAGCAGGAGTGATGTTCGGTGCAGCGCAGCCTCAGGAAACCAGTGTTTTGACACCGAGTGTGTTTTATCCAAAAATGTCAATTTGTCTGCTACACAGCCCTCCACAGTTCCTGTTTGGTTGGGCTTCGGTCCTGTCAGCTCTAATGCGGCTCCACTCGGCTGTGATGTGAGAGTCCATTAGCTGCAGTCGGCCAATCCCTGCAGCCCGCCGCTTAATCACTTCCAATAAATCAATCGATCAATCCGAGGCTCCGCAGTCACAGAGACGGGCTTTAATCTGGAGTTTATCAAAGATGTGGAACATTTCTGAGACGTTTGTGAACAAACGTTTGTTTATTTGGACATTTTCAGGCATCGGTGTAGAAACAGGCTTCAGCTGAATGTTTGAGTTCAGTTGGTGTAAACGTCGAGGAGGACGATCTAGTGACAGAAACACTGTTGATCCTCTCCAGTCGGAGTCCTGCTGCTTCTCACCCTGTCTCCAGTTGGACCATAAAGACTGAGCAAACATAGAAACACTGCAGGTTGTATTTAATTCATTCTGTCTGTTGGAGCTCTTCATTGGTCTGTTCTTCATTCATCAGAATTAGTTCCAGCGTTTAGACTTTGATGGGATTTATTGAGTTGTGAGTTGTTTGTATTGTTCTGATCAGTTTATCGTTTTCTGTAAGTTGCAGGTGAATCAGGCGTCTTCAGTGGAAATGAAAGGAAACTAGTGCAGGTCTGACAGAGGCTTTAGAAGAATATCAAAGCTCTGTGGACATTTGGGCTGTAACGGAGCTGCAGCATCAGGTCATTTGAACAAAGCTGCATTTCAGGAGTGTTTCATAGTCAAAGGAGTCTCTGTGTTCTGCTCACTGGGGCTACATCTGACACCTCTCCTGACAGAACAGCAGAAACGTTCCTCTCTGACTCAGAAAAGACGACAGGTCCTTCCTCTGACTTCCTGCTGTCCCTCCAGGTACTACCACTACCTGTACACCAACTACCTGCCCAGCAGTCTGAAGAACACGGTGGACCAGCTGGCCAACTGTGAGGACATCCTCATGAACTTCCTGGTGTCTGCTGTCACCAAGCTGCCGCCCATCAAGGTCACCCAGAAGAA